CTTACTTACTTACTACTCTCTCTCTCTCTCTCTCTCTCTCTCTCTCTCTCTCTCTCTCTCTCTCTCTCTCACCGAATTCACGTGGCTAATTTTCAAGAGTGATGAATAAGGGGTGGGAATGAATTACACTCTCTCCGACACACCATTCAATAATTGTTTTATTCCAGATCCGATCTGTCTTTCGCCGCGCCTCGTTACAATAGAAAAGATACTAGTATTTTTTTTCTTCTCTTTCTCACTCTCTCTCTTTCTCTAATTCTCGCTTTCTTCTTTGTCGCTTGTATATCGCTTTAACTTTAGCGACCGCGGGAGTCGGGCGATTTAATCGCCGATACAATAGTAACTCTTCTTCCTCAATTACTCACAAAAATTGATCAAACATTTCAAAAATTCTATGAAATTCGACGTAATAGGAAGAGGGAAGGAAAAAAAGAATAGACAGATAGGTGTATGTAAAAGGAAATTTCTCTTCCGTTTATATTTCACGAGAGAAAAATGCAAGTAATATACTTCTAAAACGAGACAAACGTTACTCGAATGATAATTTTGTGCAATTTTCGAAACTCTCTCGATCCGGATTTCGCGAGTCGTTTCGTAATTCGTAAGAAAGGGTGAGGCTGAGAAAAACAAAACCGAATCGAAAAATTCGCATTCTCGATTTAACATCTTCGATATTCCGTTAATTGTGTTCGCTTTAAGTACATTTATTTATTGTCCACTGTGTACGATTATTTCGGAAGGCGCTCTCGGGGGGAGAGGAGGGAGTGGAAGTAATGGGGGATGAGCGTAGGAGGACGCGTTAACGTCCGATAAATAAACGAGCAGGTAAATGAATGATTAACGCGAGGTTATTAACATTTACGCTTCTAATCGAAATCATACAAGTCATGGGGTGCTCGACTAGAATTGGTGGGTCCACACGTGATATACACTTGCTCGATAAATGCACGTACACGTACGTATATGTGTCTTTTTTTTCTTACGTATGTGTATATATAATTTATGCACAAGGACAACAGTAACAATAACGACATCATGATAACGATCGATGATCACATCTCTCCGTCTCTTTCTTTCTTGATTGACAATGGAAACGATAATTACGTCGCGAGACACCCTCGGCACCCTCGCCGATATTGATCTTCAAATTTTAATTCTATTACCAGTCCCTTCGAAATTAAAATTTAGAAATATCAGCAATTTACTAATTTCAATCTCTCACTCTCTCTCTCTC